TGGCTTAACAAGGCGGTTTAGATGGAAAAAGCTTTATCATCATCCAGGCTCCATTTGCCACAAACAGGAAATGAATTTGCTTCCTCTGTCTAAGCCTAGTTCCTGGCAAAATGGAACAGTTCATTGCTAAGCCGCCTTTTTTTTTTCTTTCTTTCTTTGTTTTTTGAGATACTGTAGCTAGAAACTTGGCAGCTCGCAATTTCAAAGTGGCAGCTTTCAAAATGTCTACCTAACACAATTTAGCCTAATTCCAAACACACCGGAAAACGGACAGCTAAAGAAAAGAAAAAACGTCTCCGGAGGAGCAGCTGCCTCCCTGTCCTCCTACTCTTCCCCTAATATGAAAAAAATGTAGATTATTGTCTCCCTAGGTTGTAAAATATTCTTCAGAGAATGATTATACCTGTCACAGATGGGATCTTGAAATATGTTAAAATGTTTAGGTTTATATTCTAGGAATTCCCTAGCAAGCTGAATTCTCCCTGCAATTTTTGGTAATATTATTACTAAACTATAAGCATAAATGCTATCCATGAGAAACTGGTTTATTTATTTATTTAAAAACAACAGGAAAAAACTCTTTCTCACATTTCTTTTGGACATCCAGAATTTTAACATATCCGTAATTAGAATGATTAGAAACATTTTCTTAAGTGGCTTAATTGACAAAGCATTGGTATTAACATGTCCTGGACCCTGTAATGTTGAAGGATTGCTCAGGTGCTCAGAGGAAGCTGGAGCAAGAGAAATGAGACCCATACCTCCTGGGGCTAAAATCCCACTATTCTATTCCTCTTGTAGCCTGGAGTATCTCCACAGCTTCTAAATGTATCTACTGTTCCCCCTTTTCTCCTTACTACTTTGTAATCCATAATTCTGATTATGTATTTCTGCTAATTAGAATACTTCTCAAGTCTCCCATTGTCTGCAGGATGAAAAAAATAACCACAAGGCCTGTTGCACTAGGATGCCTGCCATCTTTTCCCAGGCTTGTATCTTCTCTTTTGTCTTTTAAACACCCCTTGCTTGGCATTTACTGTTCCCTCTACTGCAAATGCTTTTCCATGTGCTCTCCTGTCGGGAACACTCTTACTCATCCTCTAAGTTCCAGCTTCGATATCCTTGCATCAGGAAGCCCTCCTAACCCCGTTCCCCACTCCACCGCATCACTAGACATTGATTTTTGTTATTTCACTACAATTTGCATAAATCGTAGTCACAGTCTTTATTACACTGAATTGCAATAATCTTTTATTGTCTTCTAGACTGAGAGTTTCTTGAGGCCAGAGACCGACTTACTCAACTTTATGTCCCAAGGGAAAGCCTAGAGGAGCTCCTGACACATATGTGAAAACCAGTGTATATTTTTCCTGGAACTGAATGAAAGGATGACTTGCTGCTGGACAATTGCATTTCTCAGTCATACACTGAATGCCTCTTAATCTCTCACCAAGCTTCAATCCAGAGAGGTTTACTCTGCATAAAGAGATTGATCATTAACTGGTTGATTGAATTCTAACAAGGACTGGTGGGAAGGAAGAGATTCTCGGAAAGGCGTAAGACTCCATTAGCCTGAAAACTACTAGAACCCAACTACATTTGATTTTTTGATAGAGCCAGCCTTGCTTTCCAGTTTTAATTCAATACATTAGAACTGTCAAATAATGATTCCAATTGCTGCTACAAATGATCACCTATTGTTAACAAGATAGAGCCAAACTAGACCAACAACATAAGATTGTCTTCTGGAATGTTACATTTCCAACTACATATAACCTTTCACACCAGGAAGGCAGTGGAGAGCTTTTTCAGAAACACCAACTAATAGCACCTGAAGAACGGGCTATTAGAAATTGATACAAATCCAAATCTGAGGAGATCGTCTCAGTGCCTTTCCTGGAGACAACTGAATTCAAAGGGTAACATTAAGGATGCCTAAAATCATGCTAAGATGTCAAATGCTACCAGTGACTGTCTGGTCCCACCTCTGGGATTTCGGGGTCCACATGAAATATTTCATTTTTTTCTTGAATATCATGGTGTGTATGGGAAGAAGCTTACATGAGTTTATACATTTTAAAATCTAGATTTTACCAAAATAATTCTTAACCAAATGTTACCAAAGCCGTGACTTAAGGGTATTATACACACTCAGCATACCTATATAACATTGTATATATCACACACAGTGATGGGCGGGACTCACTGCTACAGAACTACTAGAAATGAAAAACCTGCCATTTCCCCCCTTTTCCTCTTCTTGCCTCTCTGCATTTGTCAGTCAGTATTACAAGAACAGATTGCTAAAGGGAAGAGTGGCCACTGAAAAAAATGGAGACAAAGTTTAACTTGGGGCTGGTGTTTGTCGAGCCAAAGCCATCTCTGCAGATTGGTGATCACAGATCCAAGGCCTCTTAGAGGCCACTAGTGGCCACTGGGTGAACTGCATGAAGATGGCATTTCAAAAATGAGTAACTATGCCTTCCAAGGTTTTAGTCGCTTAGCAAATTTCGTCCCTTAGTGACTTGGGGAAAACTTGATATACTGCCAGAAAACCTGCTTTTAGAACAATTCAACATAAAATGTGAAATGCAAAGGGTAATCAGGAGAAAGACCTCCTTGTTCAGATGGTTTGTGTGCTGATATATATATATATATATATATGATTCTGGGCTTCAGAAACCCTATCCCCGGAGCATGTAACACTTATCTTGTCTGTGTGAAAAATATTAAATAAATGCATATGTATGAAATCTGGAGCGCATTATTAATAATAAATTATAATGCCACTAGAGCCATGAGTCATTCATTTCACAAGTGATTGACTGTTTCATTCATTCTGCAGTCACTGGACATTCACACTCTTATGCCAGCACCTCCAGTGAATACCCCAGAGTGTCTCTTGGGTTGTGGACACATATGACTGCCAAGTAAATAATGACTGATTTTTCACAATAATTCAGTCATGCTGCTCCCCACCTCTGCCTCCAGAAATAAACAAAAGCAGTAATCCTATATATTTTTTTAATTGACCTACCTGCACAAGTTCTCTGGAAGTTTTAATGTCTTACTAGCAACATTTTGTTCACATGTCAGATTTATGGGGGCTGCAGGTCATGCATATTTTTCATAGGAAGAAGTATTCTCTGGAGTGTTTTCCTGACCTTGCTGGGATATGATAAGTTGTACATTCCAAATCAATGGACACTTATTGGTCATGTGCTGTCGGTCAGACCTGATCACAGACACTGCTCACTAGATGCTCATGACAATCTGTGAAGTAGGCATTGCTTCCATTTTGCTTATGCGGAAACTGAGGTTTGGGCACCTATATGACTTTCCCAGAATGAGCAAGGAGTGGTGGATGTGGAACAGGAAGCCAGGTCTTCCGCCTCCGCCCTCTGCTCCCCTGCACTGCCTTTGCAGAGATTCACGGTTTTCCCCACCAATCCTGGCAAAGATGGCTGCGCCTAGACTCTTGACGTGGCAAGGGTGGCTGTGTCATTACTTCTTGTGTTCTCTGCCCACTTCTTCCATTGCCTGCACCCCCTTTCCAGAGGCCCAGAGACTTTTCTGCCACAGGAGAATTTTGCTAGAAGATGGAATACACAAAGGTAACCTGCTTAATAATTTGATGTCTGCAGGCTTTCCAATTTTATTTGCATTCTTAAAGAAAAAGACTAGTAGATTAGGCAAGGAATGAATATCAACTGCTTACGCTGGGCCTCTATTTCCTAACCTATAACATGGGGATGGGGATTTGTTGATTAGCAAGTCCTCTTAGTCTCAGTTCTATGGTTGTCACTGTGGGATTTTAGAGAGGGCACCCATCTGGGAGAGAGACTTCAGAGACAAACTACAAGTTTGTTAGCTCCTCAAACTCTACCACCTGCCTGAAGATGCGCTTCTGTTCTGTGAACCTCTTTTCCCAAACTTGGATGGTGCTGGATACCTCTCCGATTTCGCTATTTGATATCAAATCATCTAGACATGAGAGTAACGCAATAACACCAGTACGCAACACCTGAGCAGGTGTCTGCCTGGCTGGATAAACTGCATTGCCCCTTTCCCTTTGCTATCTGGAGAGCTGCATCAGTCTGGGCTTTCATGCATTGGTTTCCTTCTAACTGATCAATCACACAGCTCTAACATGCCTGTGCTCACCTATCCCAGCAAATGGGTGTTTATCCCCAGTCAAATCCAGCACAAAACACCTTTAGGAGTAAAATAGGATTTTGGTGCATGAATGCTATTGACAGAAAAGGCTCCCTGCTCAATGCCATTTGGGGACATGAGTCTGAATGTCCCTGCCATGGCCCAGGGGAATGATATCTGTATCAACAAACCAGTGCTGGCACCTGGGCCTTGTCACCGCTGACGGGGCTGAGAGGAGGTCAGCTGCTGGCTGCTGTACCCCGAGCAGGTTTCTAGGGATCAGGCAGAGGCTTGCAAGAGGCTGGGGAAGCAGCTTGCCTTGCCAGCTCACCAGGCTGCTCTGGAGAGAAATCGAGGGCTTCCATCTCTATTACTGTCAGAGTCTGGCACTTCTCCCCGGCTCTGAAATTCACAGCAATGGATGGAGGAGGGAGAAGAAAGGAGGTGCAAGCCAGACAATCAAAACAGCCACAATATTTTGGAAGTGGAATATTCCAGCTAGAGAAAATTCTCTAACGCATTGAGCAGTAGGGCTGGAAGAGACCCTAGCTAATCCAGCACCCTGGTTTTGTGGAGGAAATAGTTGGGAGTCAGAAAGACAAAGCAACTTCCCTAAGGTGACAAGGTCAGTAAGTGGCAGAACTGGGACAAGTATCTGGGTCTCTGGTGCTTTCACCACTTAAAAGAAAGCTTTTGCTTCTTTCCTTTACAAAACCAGAGATTGGCAGGAGGCTTCCTTTTGTGGGAACCCCAGCGCAGACGGAGGATGTTTACCTGCAGGGAAGAGGGGCCAGGGCCGGCTGTGCCTGGACCCACAGTGGTGGGGAGAGGGGGTATGCTCCTACCTTCCATGTTGATGCCCCGGGGCACCAGGCTGTGAATCTCCTCTGTGGGCAGGTCACCCTCCTCTGCATTGGAGTTGTTGGGTGGAACTGCTCTCCTGCCTCCAAAGGAGGAGATCCTGGAGGTTTCTGACATTCTTGGCTTTACAAGGTTCTTCAGAAAAAAAAAAAAAAAAAAAAAAAAAAAAAAGAAGAAAGGAAGGAAGGAAGGAAGAAAGAAGGAAGGAAGGAAGGAGAGAGAGAGAGAGAAAGACAACATAAAAGGCATGTAAAATGAGTAACATTTGAGACAAGGATTCCATAATCGAAAAACAGACATATCTGTGTGTGACAGCACTTGAGCAACACATTTTGAGATTTGCAAAAATAAAAACTGATAAGTGGCAGCAAGGATTAGTCTAATGATGGAATACAGCTCCCCAAGGATCTCGGGGAGATTTTGTGTATGCCAAAAGATATAGGAAGCAGAAGAAAAATGGGTTTATTTAAAGGAATTTTAAAAAAATAATAAAAGATTGTGGAAACCCACTCTCCATAATCCTAAAAGCAACATCTTTGCAAGAAATGTTTCCTGTTATATTCATGTGCCGTGTCTGTGTTCATTTCACAGAGATTTATGAGATCATAAGTCACTTTTAAGAATAAACTCGCACAAGCACGTTCAGATAAATGTTGTCTTCTAAAGCGTTTACATTTGCAATTTAATTTAACCAATATTTATTGAGAGCCTATGGCGTGCCAGGCTGTGATCTAGGAACATTGGATGCATCAGAGAACAAAACAGATTTTTTTGCTCTGATAGATTACAGTCTAGTAGGGTTAGGGTGGAGCCCAACAAAAGCCATAAGTAAATTCAGTTAAGGATGAGGAGGTAGGAACTGCTTTGAAAACAGAATCACGTGGAGGAGAAAGAGGTGGAGAGGTTGGGGATGCCATTTAAAATAGGGCTATCAGTGGGCTTAAGAAGTCAGGGTTGCTGACATTTCCCATGCCCCAAGCCTGCCTCCGTTTCCCTCGGAGTTTGTGCAGGCACTGAGCCAGTTTAAACAGCACACAACTGATGGTCAGAGCCCAGTAAGTACTTGTTAACCAACTGACCAAATAAAGGGGGACTTTGTTTCTGGGCCAATGAGGGTTCCCCCTTGATCCCCTGGATTACCCAGTCATGACTCCCGGCGACTTGGCTATTTTCAAAAACCAGGCACACTCCCAAGAGATGAAGAGTCCCCATTAGAGAGGCCACCAGAGGAGAGAGACGGTTCCAGAGACATGTGGAGCACTAGCAACGTGCTAGAGAAAAGACGCCTAGGGTGTGTGGTCTGAGGAGAGTGTTTGCATGCACAAGGCGTGAATAGGTATCCATGAACATCGACAAATATATTTACCATCACTGGTGGGCTGAACGGGGAAGGGAGGGAGAAGCCAGAAAAAGGGTTAGTGACAGAGGCCACAGAAAGCCGTCCTCTGGTGGGAAATAGCGAAGGTAGGCTGTGGCACTGCTGGGGTGCGGCTCACTGGGAGACACACTGCTAAGGGGAGAACTGGGGAGCCCCAGAGCCGCAGGTGCACGCCTGGCTGGGGGAGTGCGGCGGCCTGGAACCCTCGCTGCTGGGCGGGTCTAGGCAGGAGAAGTGGCTCACGTTCAGCTCCAAATTGGGATCAGGAAGGCGTTGCGAAGGAGTGGGGAGCCAAGCCGGCGGGGTTCCAGCCTCCTAGCAGGCCGTTCTCCCTGGGCCCCGCTCCCCCCACCTTTTGTGTTCCAGCTCCATAATCTGCTCCCCTGAAGAACGGGGGGCCTGTCCCTCGGGGAAGCCCCCCGAACTCCCCCATCCCCATTTGGTGGCCTTCTTAGCAAGCAACGCCTTCAGGAGAGCTGCGTGGAGTCTCGCCGAAGTCTAGCTCAGAAGTAGGGCTGGGCAGGTGCGGAGTTGGGGGCAGAAAGCCAGGATTGGGCAGGTGGGGCTGCCTGCGCCCCGCGCCACAGGTCCGGAGCAGCCGCCTGCGGGTTCGCGGTGGAGGTGGACGCAGCGGGCCCCTGGATCTTAGGGTGCAGGGGCAGCGGCTTACCTGCGGGCGATCCCCTCCAGAGGTGCCCTCGCGTGGGCTTGCTCTGTACGCCCCGGGGACTTCCTCAAAAGGACTCAGGAAAGACAAGAAAGTTGGCTCTTAAATAACTTCCTAAGAGGAGCCCTCACCCTCCTCCCCTGTCCCACGGGGTTTTCTCCTCCCCCTTCTCGACAGCTGGAGTCAGCAGCCGAGCTCTGAGGACTTTCCATTTACTTCATCCTGGCCTGTTACCCCGGCAGGTGCCCCCTCCTCTCCCACCTACCCCTGTCACTCCCAGTTTCCCATTCCTGCTTCTCCTCCCCATCCCCACCCTGGTTCTGCACACATACACACCTCTTGTTGCTGGGAGTACCAGCCAAGTCCCTGCAGTGCCAGGAAGTCCCCTCCCTCCCTTTAGGTCAGAGGGGCTGGGAGGGTCTTCTTTACAAAGGAACGCTTTTACCTGGCAGGTTGGCTGCTACTGGGGCTTGGCAGGAGGGGGTCTGCCCTCCCACAAACAGGTCACACAGACAGCTGTGACCATGCATCCAGTGAGAGCAACGTGTCCCTCCTGTGCAAATAAGGCATGGTCTCCATTATTGAATCATCCCAGAGGCGCAGCCACTGCCTCACCACAAGACTTCCTGCAGGAATGGGATGCCTAGCCCCAAGGAAAATGAGTAAACATTTTTATAGTGCCACACAGATCAGAAAATAACACTTTGTTTTTCTCTGAAAATCATTTCAGTGTATGTTCAAAAGTTAGAGAGAAAAGAACATTTCCCTCCTAAAATTTTCCTTTTCTTCTTTTACTCTCTCTTCCTCCCTCTCTCCCTTTCTTTTCTTTCTCTCTTTTCTTCTTTCCTTTTTCTTTCTCTTTTTTCCTTCCTTCCTTCCTTCCTTTCTCTCTCTCTCTCTTTCTCTTTCTTTCCTTCCTTCCTTCCCTCCCTCCCTCCCTCCCTCCTTTTTTTCCTTCCTTCCTTCCTTCCTTCCTTCCTTCCTTCCTTCCTTCCTTC